ATTCACCTTGAGCTGTGACTTAGATTTCTGACGAGATTCAGATTTCTTAGTCCCTGAGGAAGAAGTTTTGCAAGCTGAAGGAAAAGACCTAGATCTTTTAGACTTGCTTGACCTCTTAGAAAGGGATGCTGTGACAATGGATTTACCTTTGTCTTTGCACCCTAARCTCGCGTTCGATGCTTATGGTTTAGTTTACAATGAATTGATCCATAAGATTTTCTTCAATCTTAATCATCTCTTTGATCTTAGAATGGCATCTCTCTAATTGTTCTTGAAGATCAAGATTAATCTTTTCATCTTTGGATTTGCCAGTCAGGACATTGTAAAGATCAACCGTCTGCATATCTGGTGCATATAGGCTATCAGAGGTAGAAGAAGAGGGTTCATTCAAGGAATGTACCTGAGTAGGAGTAGATGACGAGGGATCACTGGAGGATGATATCTCTAATGGTTCATCTTTGACATCCTTGTCCATTAGACAAAGATAGGCTATATCTTCCTCATCAGAGGATGATTCTTCAAATGAATCAGCCCAGTCATGTTCTTCAGCGACAAGACGTTTTCCTTATCATTGAGAGTTCTTCATCTTCTTATACTTCTCCTTCAGCTTCACGTATTTATCATCTTTAGATCTGAAGGAGGATGGGTGTCTAACGACAAAAATATATTGTGATACACTTCGTATAACGACAAAAATACATTATGATACACATTATGATACCAGATCTGGTTGATGAATACAACTGTAATACTACTATGATACCATTGTATTACACTCGACGTTACATCTCCAAAGAGATCTAGGTAACATCCAAAAACCTTACATCTTCTACGTTACATCTCTGACGATATCCGGATTACATCTCTAACAAGATCTAGGTTACGTCCCCGATCTGAAATGAGATCTGAACAAAAACCAGAAACCGAACCCGATCTAGGTGTGAAGAAACCAGATTTCTTGGGATATGAAAAACCGAAACCAATCTGGGTTGTTCAACAAGGGGAGTAGGAATGGTGAAGGTGAGGGTTGACGAGATGATGACCGGTGGTTGGAGATGGATAGAATAAGAAGCAGCGGTGGCCTGATATGGGCGGAGAAGGAGGCGTCGGACGGTGTTGGGCAAAGGGATCAATGTAAAGTATTGCACCGGAGAAGAAACACGTTTTGGCCAGTGATGGCGAAAAACAGGTCGTGATCTCGTCCATTCTAACACACACACACACACATCTATCTAAAAATTAAATTATTAAACTAATTAAAGTAAATTGAATACTCAACATAATTTACTAATTTACCCTTCTACTTATTTTAAGAAATTATAATAATTATCCTGAATGATTGATTCATTTTGGATCCCATGGTTACCACAAACTAAACAGTTCTCATTTGATTAGACAAATATATGTATATATATATGGTTTTGGTCGACTGTTTTTGGTTCTGTAAGGATTAAATCCTATAATTCTTTATTCTTTTGTAATAAATTTTGTCTTGGGTTCCTTCCCACTACTGATGCCTAATCACAGGTTTCCTTCAATGAGGCATGGATGATTAGCAAGAAAAAAGTCTAGTCAATACTAGCCAAAGATAACAACTTTTGTCTTCTGTTAGCATATCTTAACAGAAGAATATGAAGGTTAGGAAAACGTTCTAATTTGCCTTTTATAACTTATTTTATTGATCACTATCTATACTACATTAATAAGCATTTAGGCTAAAATCTTAATTACAATCTTCTAAGCACATAGTACTGCACTTTAAAGCCTGAATTTAAAAAATCTCTTAAGTACAACGCACAAAGCCTAATCTACAAGCTTTTCATGCAAGGGTTTTATACCCAACTTTGGAAGGTTTCAGACCCCCTATCTCTGTCACTGTCTCCTACATTTCTCTTTAAGATACACTTCTTCAACTTAAATTCAAAATGCAAAGCTTCAAAACCATGGTTCCTCTCCTCCAGATCTTTCCATATTGCTCTCCTCCACCATAATTCCTCATCTTCCCTCGCTTCACTTTCTTAGCTCTGTGAAATTTGGACTTGGGATTCAAATACAGGCCCTCGTGATCTACACAACATAAACCCCAACATCGTAACCCTTGACTCCATACACACATCCACTCCATCTTGCATGGATTGGAGAGAAGAGAGGCATAAGAGAGAAAGCGAGAGAGGTGAGAAAATGGTGTCGGGATCGGGAATTTGTGCACGGGAGGTGGTGGTGGACGCTCGCCACCACATGTTTGGCCAATTATCGTCGATTTTGGCCAAAGAACTACTCAATGGCCAGAGAGTCACCATCATTCGCTGCAAAGAGATCTGCCTCTCAGGTGGCGTGGTTCGTCAGAAAATAAAGTACATATGGTAATATGGTTTCATCTAGAAGAGGTGTTTTCTTTACATTCAGGATTCAGCTCAATTTTCTACCCATATGCCCTTCTCCAATTTTATGCTCTACTTTATGCAAAATGTTTATCAATATATTACAGTGAAGGTTTGCAATAGTTTTTATGTTCTTTATGCCTTTTGTCTAGATTTTTTTGGGTCTTTTATGGTTATTATGGTAGCTTTATTAATAATATTATGTAAAACTGTAATTTACTAATGAGGGAATTTTTCTGTCTGGATTTGCTTTGCTCAGCCTCTTCTCAATCTTGTTCAAAACAACTCGATCTTATTCACTTTGCTCGATCTCGTTAAAAACTACTCGATCTCATTCACTCTGCTCGATCTGGTATGCTCGACCTCTTTATCTCTCTATCTCGTTCTTTCCATCTTAAAATTATTTTCTCGATCTGTCATCTATGTAATTTATGTTTATAGCCTATTGTTTGTTTGGTGTTGGTCTTGAGTGCTCTATTATTGTTTTATAGCATCAGATGTGGGTAAAATTAGGTAATTTTTTATATGAAACTGGATACATATTGTGTATCATAAGTTAGATACAAGGCATGGTATAATGGTCTCTTTTCAAGTGGTGTTTTTATAATGAATTAAGCTGGCACGTATTGAGTCAATTTTTGTTTCAATTGTAGCTATGGTTAGTTAGGCTAATTGGACAACCATGTTACAAGTTACGAGAGCAGGTATATTGGGATCTTTTAATTGTGAAGAGTATAAATATGGGTGAATTTGTCTATATGCTAGAGATTGATGTGTACATGTATAAATACAAGTCCAAAATTAAATTGATACAATGACGGTTTTGAAAAATAAATATCACTGTACGTTGTACTACAACGACAGTTTGAAAAATAAATGTCTCCGTCATAGTGTTATGTTGACCGTTTGGAAAAATTAACGTTATCACCCGTCATGCTACCACCGTTTTGAAGAATAAGTGTCAACCTAAGTCGTGTAAGGTTTGAAAAAATAAACATCATCATAAGATGTAAATGATAAGTGTTAATTTATTAACTCTACACAAGCGAAACTTTGGGACGGATTAGAATAAGGCTACGAACGAGCTCGTACTTCGTGTACAGCTTGACGAAGCCATTTATCTCAAGATCAATAACAAGATTCCTAGTCTTGGAATGAGGCTCGATCGCAGCGACCTTAATTTGCTCTACAGTACGAGGTAAAAGATTGGTTGTTCATATGATCTCGTATAAGAATTCAAGAGAATTATAGCACATTTCACGAGAATTTGTATTGATGATGAAGGTATTCGAAAGAAATCCCGGATGCATATGAGTGGCTTATGTTGGATGCGATCGAAGGAGAACGAAGATTGTTCATAAGAAGTGATGAACTCGATGCTTCTTGGTCTACATTCACGCCATTGTTGAAAGAACTTGAAGCCAAGAAGATTGCACCGGATTTGTATCTGTATGGCAGCAGAGGATCCGTCGGAGCTCATTATCTGGCGGCAAACTACAATGTCCGGTGGGGAGATCTCACAGGCGACAACTGATCCGCACGTAAATGTGCTATTTTTTTTGTCAATCTTAAATACTTCGTCACATAAAAATTAAATATCTACGTTTCCATTTTAATTTGTCCCAAAACAAATGTATTTTCAAAAGTAAATAGACTGCATTATGATTTTATCTTTAATCATGTGATGAAGAAGTTCGTTAGGTTCTCTATAATTAAAGGTGAAATCTTCATTTTCTTGATTAAAAAGTGGACATTTTTCATTTTGAACATTTATTTTGGGAGTAGAAAAATATTTTTTTATGGGATTATGTCAAGGTGCTAAGGCGTCGTAGCATAAAACGCATCCACGTCATTACAATAAGTCCGATAGCTTTTGTGAAGTGTGGACCCCTTGAGGCGCACAACGAAGTAGGTTTTTTACAAAACACGTTTTTGTTTTACAACTTATTAAAATAATTTCAAGTTTTGTAATAAGTTCTAAGTATATAGGTTTAGAAACTCAATACGTTGTGCAATTATTTTTTTATTCGATCTTGCTAATACACAATATTAATCTTCAACTTTATATATTAGTTGACTTACAAATTAACCACATAAACTCATGATTCAAGGTCACACGAATATTTCACAATTGACCCGCGCTGCATTGCACGGGTATATCACTAGTATCTATATATATATATATATATATATATATATACTAGAAGAGTTCTCGTGCAATGTAGCGAGACACATCTCGATTTTAATGTTTTATTTTATTATTTGTCTATGTGATGTTATAATACGATTTTATGTGTTTTTAATAAAGCAATAATGATTTTATTTTTGAATAAAATATAAATTTGAAAAAAAAAATATCAATGTTAATATCAAATCAACTATTTAAAAGTTTTATTTTTTAT